CATGGCTGTGAGCTTCACTTTTCACTTTCTGCAAAATCTTAAAAGAATCTGAAATTCTCTTGAACGAAAAGGCATGAAAATTAGGCTTCCAGAAATGTTCTTTCTGAAGCATTTTTTCTCTGATTAAGTGGAAAAAAAAAGTCTGAGTAATGAATCTGAAATTAGATATTGGTATCCTCCAGGCTAGGAGTTTTTCTAAGTAGAAGACCATATCGATCTGATGTCTTACTTATGAATATAGAGTGCAATCCATTATTAAGGAAAAGTGAAACCATTAGGCTCCTCAACCATTCAATTAGGCTATTACTTTATCTACCTTAATTGATACTGCTAATAGTATCATACATAATTGTTCCATACAGGCAGAGAACGTGCTTGTTAATGAGTCTTAGCTAATTCACAGAGTGACATTTAAGCAATAGCAACAGACCTGTACATGGGCCCATGATCAATGTGTGACATATTGCTTTTGCCTTACACAGGGGTAATTTAAAATGGGTCATGTTTATTTAAAGTGAATTCTTATGCATCTCAGTTTATTTTCAGGGCAACATGGGCTGCTTTGGGAAAGGCAGTCACCCAGGGCCATGAATTTACTATGGCAATTGATGACCAAATGTTTTTGAAATTTGGTCTTGGTCATTGCTTCGCAAACAAAGTGTTTTTTAAAATTAGATGAAACCAGGGATCAATGCTGTCCACAGACCCTCAACCTTAATTACTTTATGGTGTGTATTTTTTTTAAATGGAGATAAAATGTGTATTTTATTGTATTTATTATTATTATTATTGCTAGAAGTCTCCTTTCAGAATTAGAGAAAATCATAAAATGTAAGTAAGCAACCTGGCTAATGGTGGAATAGAAAGAAGACTTCTTTGGTAGCCTGCAAAAACTGGGTTCATGTCTTCATCTCTGACATATGCTGACTGTAAGAAATCCATTTATCCTCATAGTTCAACTCTTTTAAGTAGAGAAGAGTTGCTGATCCACATTGGGATCAGGGAAATTTTATCCCTAGAAGTTGGTAAATCAGAGGTCTGAGCTGAAGCAGGGAGGAGACAGGGAAGTAAATTATGTCTAAGACTGTATTTTTTATTTTAATTGAACCAGAACTTTCTCCTTAAATGACTCAATGGAAGTAATTTAGGTAGTTTTTGGAAATCATGTTAACTCTTTCAAGAACATAGTATTACATTGAGCAAAAATGTTTGAAAGTCCCTTTTTTATGACTATGGAGGAGCTCATGTGTTATTGTTTACTATGTTCATGATACTATCTACAGAGTCTCTTCTATTATTATTCAAGTAATGTGTTTAGACTTATAAGTTGACATATGATGTCCTAAGGCCTAGGAGATTTGCCTCTGGATTTCTTCATGAGTTGTGTGAAATACAGGGAGAGAGGATGTCTCTGCCTTATATTTAGGCATATATTAATGGATACAGTCAGAGTTTTTAAAGTAATATCACTGAACTAAGAGCAGGAGTAGTATCAGAGAGTATATGTGCTAGAATTCCCTGAGACATTGCTTTTGCCTACACCTCTCCAGTCTCAATATACTTTTCCTATACAAGAAATGTACTTTTATGTAGATCCTGCCTTTTGTATAGTAGATCAAGGTATCATTTCAGTAGGAAATAAATTGAAATAACAAAAGTATTTATTAGCTTCTCTATGATGTGGACCTCTTCACTTCTTTAGTTTTTGTATAGACAAAGTATGAATTCTGAAACAGTTTACATGTTGTACAGGTACTGATTCATTTCTTCATGTAATATTTTCTATTTTGCTTCAGTACATCAATGAATCTGATCTATGATTTTTTTGATGTGTCTATTATCTCTACTGATGCATATAACATCTCACCCATGCTTTCTCATCTCATGCTATTATTTTCTATGACTTTGTAAAAATACTGTATAAAAGGATCCTCCAAACACCAGAGACCTTAATCTGGCCCTTTTGACATTTTTTGGACAGTAGAGTAGCTCAGACTGCCCACCAAATACAGTATCCCTGGTGATATTTTCATGAATGACAAGAATAATTCAATAGAGAAATGATGGAAGATTGATTATATTTCATGTCCATTTGTCGTCCTCTTTTCATCTATACATGCTTATCATACGATTTGGCTTTGCTGAGTATTCCTCATTCACACTATATGAACCATCCATCTCATTTCCAGATAACATATTTCCTTATTGATGCCTTTTATAGTATTTTTCTCATTCAAGTCAATCAGTGATAATATACTATATCCTACTTATAACTGCCATGACTTTTTCCACTGCTCTTTGAGCTATGGGGAATTTGGATTCTGATGTAATCCTAGTGTTATATGATTACAATCATATAGCATTATCAGGGAACATTGGGGTTCGCAAAAATAGGGTTTTGTAGCTTGGTATGATTGAAATTGATGTTGTCTTTTTAATTAACATTTTCTTCTCATATCTTAATTCTACTTCCTCACATGAGCTACTGGGATGGCAAATTCCAGATATAATTATTCCATTAGTATAGGTGACAATAAACCACTACAGAAACGCTAGCAGATCTTTTCCATTTCATATCTATCTGTTGTCCTATTTTTTTTTCTTTATTGTGATTTGACTTTGCTGAGTATCATGCAGCATTTCTGAAGATATTTTCCCCTTCTACTGCTTTTACGGTTTTCTGAGGAAATATTAGTAAAAAAAAATCTTCTCTCCCTCTCCTCCATAATGTTTTATAAATGAGCTTCTACCCTAAAATGATGTAATCAATAATTAATGGGTCTTTCCATATGGCAAGGAGATCAAGTATTTGCTGGCTAAGCTGTTTTTTGTTTGTTTATGTTTTTCCCTATGCCCCTGACGATGGTGACTTTTGACTTGATTAAATTTCCCTGAGACCTGTCTTTAAGTCATTAATATCATCTTTACATTTAACTATGTCCATTTTTTTAGTCAGCAATTCTGCAATTGAACAAACTGTCTTAGTCCTAAATCTTAACCTTTCTTCTAATTTGCCATGGTATTCTTTACTCTAACCAATTATCTGATTGTACAGATGACTTATTCTTAAATGAAATGAATGCTTATAAATAACAATTTCCTGTCTGTTAATAAATATTGAAGTTCATTTTTTTGTGTAAATTGCTGCTTGATGCTTTTTCTAACCAGCGACTGTCAATCAACCAACCAATTAATCAATCAATCAATAAAGAAGCATTTGTTAGGTTTCTATTACTTGCCAGACCTTGGGAATACAAAGATAAAAATAAAATGGTCCTTGCACTCAAGGAGTTTCCATTCTCCCAGGGGAGATAACATGTGCTTACAAAAGTACCTTCAAAATAGGTACAAAATAAATGCCATATTTTTCCTGGATAATTCTTAAGGCATATGGCTTCTGATTAATATAGTAGTAATTAGTCTTTTTTAAGTACTTAATTATGAGCTTGGGGGTGGGGATAGAGAAGTCCAGATGTGTGATTTCAATGGTGTAAAGAGCTACTGGTAAGGAAATTGCTTCTATCAATTCAGACCTCCAACCGTTCATACTATCCTAGAGAATTTTCTGGGGCCATTGGGATACTGAGTGACTTGCTCAGTGTCACACTGTTTATATGTGTCAAAACCAAAACTCTTATCACCCTAGTGGTGAGGCTGGATCTTAATTTCTTATACCACACTGCCTCTTGATAATAGTTATAACCTTTTTCAACACTATCTTCTTCTGTATGCCTTGATGTCTCGAAGTATCAAGGTTAACGTGGACTTAATTTGAAGGATGCTGTTAATTTTTCCACATAATTTCTTTATTTCTTCCTTTTTTTTGTAGTAGGTATTGGTGCCAAAGCTGTAGTGATCTTCAAGGTGGTTTATTTGTTAGGTTCATCTTGCACACTGTGAGGCCAGATGACCAAAGTGTCAATGAAATGATTTTCTACTTTCCTCTGACTGAAAGATAAATCCACCTCTGACAAATCCTTTATTATTTTTCCAGAGAGAATCTAACAATTGCCATGCTTAGAGATGCCAGCTGATGTACTTGGAAACTCTGAAATGGTACCATCAGTCCCTGACCCTTTCCCTCAAGGTATGTGGTTACATATGGACCAAGCTTTATGGATACCTTTAGCAGTGTTTGGGAATTTTATTGATTACTTCAGAGAGGTTTGCCTATTAGTGAAGGTTCCCATGTTTACAGATCAGACATGAGAGGAAAAACTGAAAGTAAAGAAATTTATTAGCATGTGAAGAAATCTGCTCTTGCTGATAGCAAATTCAAATTTCTGGGGTACAGATTTGGTTTTCATAGCCTTTCAGGATCACTTAGAGTAAACAGTCCATTAGTAACATTCTGCAGCAACTTAAGATAGAAAATTAAAATAATTCACGGAAGAGGGAGGGGTAAAGAAAGAGGGTGATCAGTCAAGGGAGAAAAGGAGAGAATCTGAAATACAAGCTGTAGGATGTAATATTGAGATAAGAAAGTTCCCTGTTCAAGGGCAGGAGACAGGGAGAGGAGAATAAACAATTTTAAAATTTTGAAAGGAGTCTTTTAGACAAAATTACAGGGTCTCTTGTCCAAGGACAGCAAATAGTTTTTATCATAGTGTGTGAGACCATCTGCTTTTCCACATCCTTTCCTAGGGGTTGGAAACTTTCTGATATTAAGCCAAAAGGTAGTTAGAGATTTCTACATTGTTAATCTGCTGAAGTGTAGGGAAATGATTGTATTTCTTATCATACTCCATCTCTAGATGCAGTTTATGTATTTTTTTTTTTACTTACAGCAAGAATATTCACATAAATGTGATACGTTTCTTGAAGTAATATACTAACTTGTTAGTAGTTGGGCAAGATTTCACATTTAGAATATTGCAGTTACATAATGCAGGTAAATTGTCTAATATTGCCTTTTTCTTAGCATCCATTGCCCTCCTCTCACCATTCTGTCACTGTCGCTGATGAAACCGAGAGAGGCATAGAGTTTCACTGGTCATTTTGTATTTTTATTTCTCTACCTTCTAGGGAAGAATCTCTCTTTCCTTTTCTAGGCTGGTCCCCAGATGCAGCAGACACAATCTATCAACAGGATTGTTCTCAAAACCTTTCTAGTTTTTTAGAACCTGCTTGATTTTGCACTCTGCTGGCATACCTTTGGGAACTCAGAGTCACCTTTGTGTCATGATGATGCATAGGAGTAAGACTTTGGAGGAGTAATTTCTAGAATATTTGAAAAAAAAAAGCAATCTTTTTGCATGCCAGTCTAAATGCATTTTCATACATGTCACTAAAAATGTACCCTCCCAAGGACTACATCAATTTTTCCCAGTATGACTACCAATTCCTCCTGGTTGAAAGTCATGAAAAGCCAATGGCTTTTTACTATCTGTCTCAGAGCAATATTATGTTACTGGACTGGAAAATCAGTGGAGAACAAATTGGGAAAAAGAAAACATGCATCTCTCTATTTTCCAGCTCAATAAGATCTCTAACTGTTACACAAATTTTAAACTATACAGCATGTAATATTTGAAAAGTGTTTGCAATTGAAAATTGGAAGAGTGCTTTCTCCTATTTTCCAAAAGTTGTCAAAATCTAGAAAACATTTCAGATTGTGTACCAAACCTTAAGTATATAATTATCTTCCTCTATGCTTAGTTGTATTTCAAACAACTCAGTAATTAAATGATATACAAATTTCAAGCTAAATTCAGAGTTTTCCTTTATAGATGATATCCTTTATTTCTATGTTTTGTGATTTGTTTTGTTGGAATTCATGATTCTTATTTTTGAGTTGATATTGGCTAGTATAGACAATGGGGGTTCTGTTGATTTTTTTGTTAAGACTACCTCCTCTCTGTCTGTCTGTTGGTCTCTCTTTCTCTCTCTCTCTCTCTCTCTATCTCTCTCTCTCTCTCTCTCTCTCTCTCTCTCTCCCTCTCTCTCCTTTTATAGTTATGAGGACACTACCCAAATGAAATAAAATCTCTTGGCTCCATAGTTCAGGAAAAATGCATATATTGATGCTGAAACTAGACAAATTATATGTGCAAGGGGACCTCTCTGGAAAAAGTCATGTTTTCTTAAACCATTGTGTTATTGTTGTTTTTTAATGTCATGTTTGCTTTTAATTTATGCATTACCTCTGTGACTTGCCTCCTTTCACTTCTTTCCTCTCCCACTCCTTGTGATCTGATTTCTCACATATGCCCCAATTCTACAGAACTTCTCCAATGATATTTTTTTTTCTGTACCCTTTTTCCTTGACATCTCAGAAGTTTTTGACACTGCTGACCAAAAAAACAAATTTTTAAAACTCTCCTTTTTGGGAACTTTAACATTACACTCTCCGGTTTCATTTCTTTCTATATGACCAGTCCTTTGCCTTCTTGGTTGGCCTCCCTTTCTCTTTTTAACCCCAAGCTGGTAAACAATATGATGGGATCATAGACCTAGAATTAAAAGGGACTTTAGAGGCCATCTAACTCAATTACCTCATTTTACAGAAAAGGAAAGGGAACCATTATTGTATAACTTGCCCAAGGTCATATAGGCCCTGTGGAGGGAGAAAAAAAAAGGAGCAAAGAGTTTGGCATAGGCCTATAGGCTAAACCAGGGGTGGAGAAACCGTGGCCTCCAGGTCACATGTGACCTTTCAGGTCCTTGGGTGTGGCCTTTTGACTGAGTCCAAGTTTTACAGATACTTAAGAGCAGAGCCAGGTTGACAGACCTCTCCCCTTCTTCTCTCTAACTCATATACTCTGGTCCTGAAGATGGAGAAAAAAAATGAGGAGCCACGTCTCGGGGTCAGTTGGAGAAAGGAGGCTACTTAGGATCAGAAGTCTATATCCTTGGGTAGTCAACAGGGAGGCTGAACATCCATGCAGAGTGAAGTACTGGATCCTATCCCCTTGACTCAATGGCTAAAGGGTACCCCCACACAACCTGCTATTCCCAAGAAGTTGATGAGGGCAGAGAGATCTGAGAAAGAGTGAATGAAGATAGACATTAGTTTAAAAAAACACACAATAAAAAAAAATACAGAAACAAAACCAACTCCAAACAAACCACCCCATCCATTGGAAACAGTTCTCTAGTCTCATAGAGACATTAATTGGCTCTTGGAGATACAGAGTTAGATATAGCAATCTATAATGTTAGTGAGCTTACAATTTATTAGAATGGGACTAAAGGTGGGAGGTGGAAACCCTACAGATAAAAATTTGAGCCAAGAGAAAATGAGATAAGTACAAATGAGAAATCAATAAAATATACTATGATAAATTTGAAGTAGAAAAGCGTCCATTCAACTGGGTTGGAATGGTAGAGAAGGCCTGAAGGAGCCTTCATAGAAGAGTTGGCATGCGAGCTGAGTCCTGAACAAAGAAGACTATAATAGGTGAAAAGGAGTAATTCATTCTAGAAAGAAGGAAATATGAGAATGGGTCAAGGAAAATATTACAACATGATTAGCATATCTGGCTGGCATAAAGAAAGAAGCATATAGCTATCAACTTGGAACTAGAAGCTATTTTAGAGGATATCTTGTCCAACTCCTTCATTTTATAGAGGAGGAAGCTGAGGCCAGAGAGGACAAGTGACTTTCTAAAGGTCACACAGATAGGAAGTATCAGAAGCAGGATTTGAACCTAACTCTTTTGACTCTAGAGCCAATACTCTTTCAATTAGGCCACACATCCTCCCAATGAAGGGGAATAGTCTGAAATAAGGATGCAAAGATAGGACCAGACTGTGGAAGACTTTAAATAGCAGGCTAAGGACTTTATACTTGGACATCAGCTATTTCTTGTCCTCATCTCTCCAGTTTATACTTTATAATTTAGGCAATAGAACATTAAGTATGGGGTCTTGTCATAGTCAAAGAAACAAGATTGTTTTAAGGTGGTTGCAATGAGAGAAGAAAGGAGAGGACATATTTGAGAGATAATAGAGAAATCCACCAATGTTTTGCAGAGCAACAAATTCTTCCCATAGTCTTTCTTTGTAGAGGGCTCAAAATGACAGCCATCTCTTCATTTGTTACCAGCTGCTCTGCCTGGTTTTGACTCCACCATCATCTTCATCATGCTCCTGTGCTTGGTATCATCTAGTATTTCTCTAGTTCCGTTTAAATTTCTCTTTGTGTATTTTGTTCCCACATTAGATTGCAAGCTTCTTGAGGGCAAGGCCTATATTTCTTTTTTCTTGTATTTGTATCCCCAGTGCTTCGCACAGTGTCTGGAATATAATACGTACTTTATATATATGTATTATATTATTTAGTTTGTGTCCATTCATTGAGGACCTTCCAAGTCTTCTCAGGGTCCTTAAATCCTTTATCTCATCCACTCTCCAAATTCTTAATTCCCTGTCCACAAAAAATAGTATTCATCTCCTTTCCCCACTGACGTGGAAGAGAAATAATTTCATTTTTCCCTTAAAGTTTTTTTTTCCCTTTTTCCCTTATGGATAGAGGCATCCTATTTGTTCATTCCCTAGGTTCCTTTCATGCTTGTCTATCATTCTGAAATCCCTCCATCTACCCTGTAACCAACCCCAGAACAAAATCCCTTTATGTAAATCTTGAAATCCTTCCAGGGGATGAAGTCTACAATTCCATTCTTACCCCCCTGCTTGCTGCACCTGAGAATGATGCCTGAAAAAGCATCATAGTTCAGATAATAACAGCCACAGAGCCCAGAATTCAGAACTTCACTGATCATCTCACAATTGGACACAGCCAATTGAAATCATGGGTATCAATATGCTGGGTAATTCATAAGGGAAATAACAATTAAAATGGCTAAGTGTCAAAATAGATGGAGCTGGACCAGCAATCAGAAAGACTTGAGTTCAGATGCAGTTTATGACACTTACTAGCTATGTGACTTTGGACAAGTCACTTGATCTCTGCCTGCCTCAGTTTCTTTTTTTTAACTTACAAAATGGAAATAATAATAGCACCAATCTCTCAGGTATATGTATATATATACATATATATGTATATGTATGTGTGAATAAAAGAGATAATATTTATCAAGTACTTTGCAAACATGACAATGCTATATAAATTCTAATTATTATTAT